ATATATATATAAACATACACACACACACATACCTGGAAGTGAGGAAGGAGCTACGTGTGGGACTTCAGACAAAGAGGACAGAAGCACCTTCATAACTTGGACCGTTACAAAGTATTCCAGTCATTTCCTAGAGTACAAGTTAAGCAGATTGAGAGCTCCTGAAAGATATCTGGGAGCCAGAGAAAAAGCAAGGAACAGTTCCATAGTAATTAAAGTTGAAATTTTTGAGCAGATTTAGAAAAAAATGCTAATATTATACCATAATATGTATTCCCAAGTTACCTAAAGCAGAAAGGAACCTGCCAATCCTCAGGGCTGGTGTTATCATGCTTAGTTAGACATGACCAGGAGTAACAATAAAACTCATCAGCAGCATCAGGAGATTTTAGGGTTATATTTATTGAGTTTCACAGATGGCAGAGGCCCACCTTCAATAGTAGACCTTGTCTCATGATAATAAAACAACATACATAAAAGGTGCATGTCACAAAACAGAGCTAAGCAAATTACAGAAAGTCCACGAAGTTGTATTTGAACACAGAAGTGATTTCTGAGTTTGATGTTTTACCATAAGACCACTAAACAAGTAGTTAATCTCGAGGTTTTTCAGAGAAGGTACATGATACCAGGCCAAGATGACAAAGAAAGGAAGAAGGCCTCGGAAAGCTGGTACACTACAACTCTACCTTTGGGTAGACACAAATACTCATATGCACAATGCCTACCAAAGCATTGGATGCTTACGAGAGAGAAACACAGAGTGTGAGCCAGAAGCACTGAAGGGTCAGGAGCAGGAGACATGAGAGCATGTCAACTGATTGCCTTCCATTCTTTGTGGAAGATCAGGATGTTCTTGATTTCCACACCAGCCTCAGTTGCCATTCCCAACACCAACTGCAGAGGGTATGAGAAATTCCTAGGGTTGTCCAAACAGATGCCAGTGATGATAGTCACCATGCTGCTAGGATCTGGTGTCCCAGGCCTTGACGAGTTCAGTAGACTTTTGCAGAAGTCAAGGATATTGTAGAGGTCCCAGGCATCAGAGTCTGTCCTAGTCATCCTGGGCCTCACCAGCCTCTTGGACGCAAAGGACTGGCAGAGAATATACTGGTTCCTTCTCTTTAGCTCATCCTCTAAGAAAGTAATGGCTGCCAAGGCCCTGCGATCTTCCCATCTTAGGATATACAGTGTGTCAACTACAATCTTAGGTATGATAAGGAAAAACTTACCACTGGTGGCAAGTTGCTGGATGACTGAAAGATTCTCACAGAGGGCTCTGGGGTCAGGGAAGAGGTAAGGGGTCAAAACTGACCGAGTCTGGGGACCCCTGAGAGTCTTCTCTAGCAGAGCCACTTCACGTTGAAGCCAGAGCTGGACTATGTCTTTGGAAAACCTAATCCTTGCAGTTGTTCTTAGAAGCTGCTGAGACGGGTTTTCTGATCTTTCGTGGGTACTGCTCACAAAGACACCTAGCTTAGAGTCAAACTTCAAGAACTGTCCAGGGAGTCTAGTTGCAAAGTGACCAAAACTTCTGAAGAAACAGATGCGCACAATAGCTTCTTCCTGGTGAGTGAGTTGAGGTGGGTCCTGGCATGATCCTGCCCTATCCTCAGCAGCTTTTGATAGTGACTGATGGAAGAGGGCAATATCCTCAGGGAGCTGAAGGAATCTGGGAGTGTGTGGCCATTGATAGCTCTGTAGCAACTCCTGGAGATGGCGAGACAGGCCGAGTCCTGGATGTTGAAGGTCTCCCACTGAGGGCAGCAGGTTCAGCAGCACACAGAGGTGGTCCCACAGGCTAAATGCACTCCTCCAGTATGACAAGAGGAGGCTGGGATTTGTGTGGAGCCAGCTCAGGATCACTTTGATGGTGGGCAACAGTCCCTCCGCAGAAAGGATGTCCAATTTCCTTTGAATAGTCTGGAGATTGTTGTGACGCTGACTAATGGAAGGTTTCTGCCCTAAAGAGGAACCGATATAAAACTCTGTCTCAGGAAAGCTTCCCATATCACACTCAATGCTAGAAGAAGTGCTGAGTGCCGGACTAGGCTCAGACTGAGGTGTCAGAATATTGTGACTAAAAGCTGGAGTCAAGGGCAAGCCATGTTTTCCTTGGAGTTTTTGGCTCAATGGAGCTGAAAGGTTAGCAGAAATAGTTGTTTTCAAGAGACCTAGGAGACTAGTCTCAGGTGCATATGCCTTTTGTTTGTTCCTAGAATAAGCAGCTTTTGATTTGGATGTGGCCCAACTTCTCTGTATCACTTCACAACTAAAGGACTCATTTCTTTCTTCATCAGTTGTATCTGAGTAGGAAGTGTCACTGCTTGTGTCTGACTGGACCTGTGAACTTAAGGATGAGTTTTCCTCTTCCTCTGTCTCATCTGAGTCACAGCAGGAATGAAAACTGGCCTCACTCTCTCCAGAAACACAAGACCACCTGCCACTCTTGCTGTGATGGAGCCCAAGAGATGGATAATCTTGATGTTGCTCTCTAGTCTCTTTCTCACAGGATTCATCACTGGGGGAAGCCACCTCTGGAGTCAGCTTCCTCTTCTGCAGCTCTGCTTGGATTCGTGTGTTCACATGTTGAAATAGATAAGAGAAAAGAGTCAAGGTGAAGATCACTGCTGGTTTTTGCTGTTTTGAGCCTGCTTTCCTCAGGCTGTGCACATTCATGAGGCAAAGAATCACCATGTGGAAAATGAGAAAGTCTGGGAGAAACAGATAGCCTTTGGGGGGCTTCTCCTCTGTTGAAGCTTGGCACGGGCCAGACTGACATGGCCTATAGGAAAGACACAGATGAAAGTCTTCAAGAACCAACTGGCACAGGGCTATCAGCCTGGCAGCTTTGAATTTTCTCTGAGGCTGTAGGAGGCTCTGAAGGTAGAGGAAGCTAACCAGAAGCCTTTTGTTATCCCAACACTGCCTCTGATTGCGGGACAGTTTCCTTCCCTGGTACCTCTTCAGACTGCTATACCTCTTCCCTGCATGATCATAGAGCCGTTTGAGGTTCCAAGCTGCCCCTTTGAAAGGCACTTCAGAGTGGAGACAGCGCTGGTAGAAGTACGTGGCTTCAAGATCATAGTACTTGCTCCCTGTGAGAGCTCCCAACTGGTTGAAGGGCATTCCCATATGTGGAGCCACTGACAGGGCTCTGTAATAGCATCTCTCTGCCAAGTTCTTGGTGGCTAGGTCTAAGAACTCATGCTGATAGCGGAATAAATCTCCCAAGTAGATCAGGCAGCGATGGCAGGCCATGCGGGCCCAAGCAACCTCTTCCTCTGATGTAGGCCCCGCTTTCTTACAGCCAATCAAGTGGATGGAACTGTGGGGCCAGTCTATGTAGCTCTGTAACTTCAACTCATAGTGACCCTGAAGGAACAGGAAAAGATGCTCATAGAACCTGAGGCCACCCTTCAGGTGAGCTTGCAGGGGGCCACCCCAGTATCTAAAAGTGTCCATGTGTTTTTGGTTGGTCTTCATGAGCAGCATGACAACATCAGAGTACATTTTCCTCCATAACAGCTCTTCTGCCTTCCTACCATAAGCCACCGGATGCAGAAACATGAGTTTAATGCAGGCTTGCTGAACCACCTCTCTGAGTGCCAGGATGTGTGGCTTGAATACCTCTTTGTGTGCATTGCCTCTTTGAAGGAAAAGATCTAGTCGCTGAGCTGCCAAGCAGACCTCCTGGTAGAGGAGCCTGGCCCTCGGGCTTTCTTCCTGGCTTCTCTCCATGGCACTCGACTCTTTTCTAGTCATGTTTACGGCATCTCCTGAGAAAGACAAAAACTGCCTGTTAGTGCTCACCCACAAAGGCTGAAAATAATGACACCCAGAAAAACAAACGGGAGGGTCTTTCCTCTTGAAAGATATTTATCTTTATGTTCTCTACCTAGAAACTACATTCATTAAGTATATTTCCTTGGAAATCATACCTATCAAAAGTCAAACCTACATGATAAAGAAATCCATTCCAAATGTATCTTTATTAAAGAAAAGATAGAAGGAAGTTGCAATTAACCAAAGTAATCTAAGAGGAATGAACTGTTCATATGCATGTATGTATGAGGGAGATCACTAAGTGTAGTGAATTTTAAAATTATATAGACTTAAAAAATAACTACTTGGAAAAAAAGGTTGAATACAAAATAATATAGTCACTGGAAAAACTCTTATCTTCAAAACCTAAACTGTAGTATGGACATATAAAAAGTTGATAAGTTTTTCTCCCTTCAAAAGCCCATAATATTGTGTTTAACAGACATTCTGTTGCAACTCCTTATTTTCTATAATTTAATTATTTCTTTTGAATGATTGGCATAGAGAAAAAACAGTAATTAAGCACATGTTCTAAATCTAAATCCAAAGAGGGTCAAGTGATGCACAACTGTAATCCCAGCTTTCTGGGAGGCTGAGGTAGGAGATTACAAGTTCAAGACCAGCCTGGACGACCTAGCAAGGCCTTGTCTCAAAGGAAAAAGGAAAAAAGGTACTGGGAGCAGAGCTCAGTGCTTGATTATCAGTGCTTGCTTACCATGTGAAGACCCTAGCTACAATTCCTAAAACTACAAAAATTAGCTAACTAGATAAAGTTTTCATTGAGTAGCAAAAATAAATATCCTTGAATGCCAAGTAAATTAGATTCATTGAGCATATGCACTATATTATCTACACAGAATGAGACAGTCAGAATTGTATATGGAAGAACCTGTGATCTGTGACTAAGACTTGAAAATTGAGAAGAGAGATGTGGACAGAGGAAGAGAAAAGGATTTTGTAGGAGAGCAACGAAGAGGCAGGGCATAGAAACTGAACCAACAGCGCTAGAGCCCAGGAAGTCTCCAAAGCACAGAGGCCTTCCCTGGGTAGGTCAATAGCTAGGTTTTTCTCAGTTCTGTGTGAGAGTCGACTGAGGGAAAAGGAGAAGATAGACCTACGATAGATTAAAATCTCTCTCTCTCTTTCTCTCTCTCTCTCTCCCCCCCCCCCAATGCACATAGTTTGTCTAAAAGGAAAGTTAGTAGCATATCAAACTAGAAGGTACAAAGACGAGAAGAAAAACTCCCAAACCTATTAGAACATTTTAGGTGAAATGGAGTCTACTGGAAAGCCAGAGGAAAGAAAACCGATAGAACGCCCATATTAAACCACATCCACCCAGGGCTCAGGGACCATTGCAGAAGGAGGGGCAGAAAGATTATAAGAGCCAAGATTAGCTCATATGGAAACAGACTTTCAGGCCTCTGAGAACTTGCTTGTATGAATTTACAGCAATGGTGGCAGCTTGCACAAGACCCATCCTGACACAAATAGACAAAAACCAATCATTGAGCTGGGGAAATGAGCAGGCAGAGACAACTTTAGCCGAGGAATGCAACTTATTACTGCTTGGTGAGGGAGAGTTGATCTTTAAGGGAGTGACTCTACCTAGGCTGGCTAAATTCCAGTAGATGAACTTTCACTAAGCGATATCTGGGTACAAAATCTTAACCAGATAGACTTTAATATATATGACAGAATGCAGAAAATCTCAGGGGGCGAGGAGTGGACTTTGGGGACTGCAGATGGGGGAGGAGGTCTAAATATGATTAAAATCTATTGTATGAAATGCACAAAAACACAATAAAAATAGACATAAAAATATGGGGCTGGAGAGATGGCTTAGCAGTTAAGAACACTAGTTACTCTTACAGAAGACCCGGGCTTGAATCTGAGCACCCACATGTCAGCTAACAACCATCTCCAGTTCCATGATATCCGACAGCCTCTTTGGTCCTTTGGAGGCATTGCACGACAGGAGTGTACTTACATATACATAGGCAATACACTCATACACATAAGATAAAAATAATAAATAAAATATTTTAAAAAGACATGAAATAATAAAGAAAATATTTTTTAACTGACCAGTTCATTTCAATTGAATAGTTCATTGGCAACAGCATCTTCTCCCTTCCCCCATCATCTAATGACACCATTGACTTCAGGTGGTTATCTTCCTCTGCAGCCCTTCCTGGGCAGCCATAGAGAAACTATTTTCAGTGATCACATGCCAAGAATCACCCACATATGAATTCACCATAGGCCTAGATCCTCCTACCCCAGCCTCAGCCCGTCTCAAGTCCTCCAGCTCTGCCATAAGAATGAGATATTAAAATGGTTTTATTATTGTCATAACCTTAGTTGGGTAAAATATGGATATAAATGCACTTAGGTTACACCAAAGTTAATCTAGAAAGAAAACCAGTTCTGAGACATCTTCAGATAAGTCCTTCTGTTAGAACTATAAAGAATTCTTAAAAGTCATTTACTCCTCATGACAATATGAAGAAAAGTTTTCTAAACATAAACTTATTTAATTTAGAAAAACTTGTCCTCCACCATGTACAGACAAGACATAAAATTTATTATCCTGAACCTAATGGCTGAACTGAAATAATATTTATAAGTACTTATTTTTCTACTATGCTGTGCAAGCAGCAAAAGCTGACTGTGGATCCCCGCAGTCATTGATCTCCTAGTCTACACTGTACAAAAAGCACTAGTGCTCTACACATCTAGGCATGAATCCCTGGAGTTAAAATACAATTTCTTACAAACTTTCCCAAACTAAATAATTACTGAGAATTGATCATTTTGCTTGAGTGGACATGAATATGATGTAGTTCCCTGCCCCACTTCACTCTGACACTAATGGTTAGTGCAACTCAGAACTTACTTCTAATACCTTTTTCCCTCTTTTCAGACTTTAGGAAGCCAAGCAGTGAGCACAGCTGTTCCTACTGAAGCCATGGGCAACCACAATTCCCCAAAGCCTGGTGTTTCTTGATCTAAAGCTCCTGAAATCCCAGAATCTTGGTTATAAAGGGATAAAATTAAACCCCTTCATTAAGATGAATCTGAATGAGATTCCCATAAGCCATCTTTGAACTCACCAATAAGCTGAGCTTTTACAGTTTCTCCTGTTCAGCCATCTGGCTTCCCAGGCCTGTATCTCACCCACTGGACTCCCAAAGCCTCTGAGATCTGTGACTTAATCTAGGCCCCTATATTAGCTCTGCATAATTGGCAACCGCTGAGCTCACAAAAGGTCTGACTTAGGTTACTTACTTGGGCAGGTAATGGAGGACCAAACATGACTCAGACAATGGAGAGGCAATAGGGCAGGCAGAGAATAGAAGTTAGAAAAGTATTACAGAGCCAGGTATAAGGCACACCTATAATTCCAGGACTAAGGAGGCTAAGGCAAGAGGACCAAGAGTCTGAGGCCAGACTGAGCTACGTAGCAAGAACTTGTCTTACAAAATGAATTCTACTTCTATATACTAACAATGAAAAATCTATGAAATTAGTAAACTATTCTGTTTAAGGTCTACATGATGGCTCACACATGTAACCCCAGCACTTGGAAATAGGCATATCAGGAGTTCAAGGACAGCCTCAATTACATAGCTTCTCAAAGCCAACCTGGGTGACATCATAAGGCTTTGTCTCAGAAAAAAAAAAAAAAAGAAAGAAAGAAAATATTCCATTTATTGTGAACAAATTTAATAGAAATGCAAACTTATATTCTTAAAAACTACAAAACTGTTGAAATAAAGAAGAGTTAAATAAACAGAAAGATGAGGCTGGAGAGATAGCTCAGTGGTTAAGAACACTGTTCTTGCAGAAGATCTGGGTTCGAATCCTGGCACCCACATGCCAGCTAACAACTGTCCATAACGCCAGTTCCAGGGGATCCAACAGCCTCTTCTGTCTTCCATGGGCATTGCACAACACGGGAGCACTTACGTACATGCAGGCAATACACACATACACATAAAAATAATAAATAAAAGATTTAATGTTAAAGAACAGAAATAAAATAAAATATTTTTTAAAAATAAATGGAAATGCATCCATATTTATTAGTCAGAAGGCCTAATAGTGTAAGAGAGCAATAATATTCAAACTGATTTATAGATCGAATACACTATATCACTATAAAATCCCAGCTAACATTCCTGTGTGAATCCTAAAGCATATGCTACTGGTAATATGAAAGGGCATCTAAAGTAGAGTTAGGGGGCTAGCTCAGTTACAGAGCACTTGCCTAGGCCGCACAAAGCCCTGGGTTTGCTCTCCAGCACCACATTCTCTCATTACCGTTCTTTCACTCTTAGGAAGAGGAAAAGGAGAAAAAGAGAGAACTTACAATAAAGCTACAGTAAGGAAGAGAGCATGGTAATAAAAAGAATGGATATAGATACATAGATCAATGAAAGAGAACAGTGAAGACATAGATGCTCAAATATATGTCATTTATTTTAACAAGGATGTCAAGATAATTCAATGAAGAAAGCATAAAAGGTGCTGGAACAACTGGATTTCTCCACATATAAAATAATCAAGTTGGATTCTGTTCCTTAGATCCTACACAAAACAGTCCAAAATGGATCATAAACTTGGTGTAAGAATTGAAACGTTCAAATTATATGAAAAAAAAAAATAGAAAATATCTAAGACCTTGAGTCAGTCAAAATTTTCTTAACATCATACCAAATAAGAAGCCATACAAAACTCTTATTAGGGATATTTTCATGTAATTCTACTTTTTTGTACTAAGGGAAGAATATTTACATCATCTTAATTGAAGGATTAAAATTAGAGATTTAATAATGACAAACTATCGTGAGATGCTCTGGATTTCAGTATGACTGCACAAAGTGTATGCCTGAGTAAGGGATGTCTAAAGATTCTGGAAACTTCAAGGAAGGCAGTCTGATCATTTAGA